TGCATCATTAGAGATTACATTGTTATTATACAATTAGACGATAGAATATTCAAACTCATATTGAATATTCTTTCACCTTTCAAATCGTTCAGAAGTTGAATATAACGTCATCATTAGATCGGGTCGGGTCAGATGCCCAATCTCCAATAACTAAAACCGTCTTTCTCGTTTTGTTTTGAGGATTCTTCTGGTAGGTTCTACGATATTATTATTTATATGGTTTTATACCATCCAGAATAAATATAAAATTCACACTAAATTCCACGTAGGACAATCCAATAATGATCCTCCACGTGTCAAAAGTTCAACCTGTTGCCACTGTATCTTCTTCCAGGAACAGAGTGAGAGGAAACGAGAGAACGAAAAATGAGTGCAGCCATTGCTGTTCCTTCTCCCAAATCGGCCATTTTAGGGCGAAATCCAATCTCTCGCAAAGACCCTGCTTCGTATTTTCTCGATCGGCCGCTCAAGGGTTTCGGTTTCCTGCCGAAACCGAGGACGAAAGTTGATCCTATAGGTTTAATTGTCGCTTCAGCCACTACGTCTAGCAGCAGCGACAGAAATGTTGGTGAAAGATTCTACTTCAATTTCACTGGATTTCCATTTCCTCTCGGCCCCTTTCTCAATAGGCGCACTATAAGAACTGAGGTAATCCATTTCCCCTTTCTTTCTTTCTTTTGGGTCTGTTCGATTTTATAGAATTTGCTGCAAAGTTGTGTGTTCTGATTGAAATTTTAGAAATGACAGAGCAACGGAAGATATGGGCAAATGGGCCTGTGGGCTTATGTTGTTTAGAATTTTCAGCTTTTGTGAGTCTGGCTTGAAATCTCCCTTGTGTTTTTTAGGCTGTAAAAGGTTCTATATGGCTTTTTGAGCAAGAACAAGCGCTAGGCTTCAGCAGCGTTTCAACAAACATTAGGATGACAGTCATTAAACTCAAATCTGGTGGCTTATGGGTCCATGCACCCATTGCTCCAACCAAGGAGTGTATTCAGGTTCTATTTCTACTTCTACTTCTACTCATTCATATGAATAGGATGAATTATAAAGGAAAAGAAATTGATTGTAGGATTTACTTGTTTTCATATTTCTATGTGCTTTTGAGATTCAAGACAAGGTGCTATAATGGTTTCAAACTTTGTCAATGATATTTCTTCCCCATTTCATATAATAGTCCATGTTCTAACGTATTAGCTTAAGTTTCTATATTTGGTGGTGATTTAATACCTCTTCTTTTACACTACAACTACAAAGACTGTATGTAAGTTGTAAGTTTTCTTATCTTTGACAGCTTCTGAAAGAGTTGGAGGCTCCTGTAGAATACATTGTTTTGCCAACGTTTGCTTATGAGCACAAAATATTTGTTGGTCCGTTTTCGAGGAAGTTCCCACGCGCTCAGATATGGGTGGCACCGAGGCAGTGGAGTTGGCCATTGAACTTGCCATTGGAATTCTTGGGCATCTTCGGAGCTAAGACATTGAAAGATGAGGATTTATCTGTCCCCTGGGCAGATGAGATCGAGCAAAAAGTCTTAAGCTCACCAGAAGTTGGTAATAAGAATTGCTGATATACTATCAAGTTAAAATCTTAGTTGCTAGTGAGAACTAACTTACTTGATTGTTGCAGGGATTGGACCGTACGTGGAGGTTGCTTTCTATCATAAGCAGTCGAGAACGCTGCTGGTGACAGATGCTGTAATCTTTGTCCCGAGGCAACCACCCGAATGCATTAGCAAAGAATCCTTGTTGGCATCAGCAAAGAACGGTTTGGCAGTAAAACTATTAAGCAAGGGAAAGGAAGTCCCTGAAGAGCCAGTTGTTGACAACAAAACCAACCGTCAAAAAGGTTCTTTCCTCTGCCTTCGACATCTCGAGATTGAGCGCGTAGTCTAGTGCTATTATGATTGAATTAACAAGAAGTTAAACTATGTTTGTTCAAACAAACTGATGAATGGTGACTGGTGGTGCAGGGTGGGAAAGAATGGTCCTCCAGATACTGTTCCTTGGGCCTTCAAACCTCTTGGAACCTAATGCTAGTTTTGCTCAAATGTCACAGAAACTTATTGTTTCACCCATTGTCAAAACTCTGGTCTTCAGCAAAGTTCCTGAAAAGGTGATTTTTCTCCTTGAATAGTGTGTGTGCAAAAGGACTTAAAAGGTTCTATAAATCTAGAGATTTTACTCTTCTGTGTTGTGATTTCAGGTCCGGGACTGGATCGACAGAATCGTCCGAGATTGGAAGTTCAAGAGAATCATCCCTGCTCACTTTGCAGCTCCGGTTACTGCAAGTAGGTCTGATTTCTTAACTGCATTCGGGTTTCTCGACGACCTTCTGGGAGAGCGCTATGTCAACCGACCTTCACTCTCTCTTCTCTTTGCATCAATCATGGGGAAGGCTGCAAGTTACTTCCCACCAGATGATATGAAGACCTTATCATCGCTCGACCAGTTCTTAGTATCGGTTGGAGCCGTGAAGAAGACGGTCTCGGGCAGAAAAAGGTAACATAGGAAAGACAATGTCTCAAAGATACCAAATAAATTTAGCACATCCATATGTTTCAGTAATGTAGATTCACCAACCAATGTCCTATCTTTGACATCTGAATATAGAAGGTAATCTGATATCAAATTATAACATCTTCTGAATGTAAATGCAGAAGAAAAAATATAATGCACAATTCATAGTTGCTTATTTTGCACTCTTCTATGATTTCAGAGGCTTTTCTGCTGATCCAGTCCATGCATTCCAAGAACTTGAAGAAATAAAGAAATTTAATAGTTTGTAAATTAAAAAACGAAGAAAAGTAACTTCTAATAACCAATTTACTTTTTAGAAAATTAAAAAATTTATTTTAAGAAATAAAGACAGAGAACTTGTTAGTAGTTAAGAATCTTTCCTTGGGTCCAAAGTCTAAATAAAGGAAATCTTTGGAGCAAGCAAATAGAGAAAATAGATGGTCAACTCTACCAACCATACAAAAATGTAAGATTTTGTCACAATCAAGGTAGGTTATGTAATTAATTACTGATTTTGACTTTTGACTAGAGTATTAAATTTTAGTTGATTGGTCAATATTTCCATCGATATTTTTATATGTCCATGAATTTGATATCGACATGTGAATCTGAAATATAAAAAAATATATCGATATATTATTGATTTGACAATCCTTAATCTATTAAAAAGGATAAAATATTTATTTGTTAATTTAAATATTTCGTATGAATTGATTGTTTTTATAAAAATATGTTGATTTCAACATTTTATCGATATTTCTCTCGATATTTTAAACTTTGTTTTTGACCATTAATATAAAATAAAATTTATAGATAGAAGAAGCTTGAGTGAGTCACAGTTGTTTCATCTTTCTTGATGTTAATTGACCCATTCATATTCATCCCTTTACAAAGTAAATGGCGTTGGCAAATTAAATGGTCTCTCAATATTTTAGTTTAAAATTTTAAAATACTCACTTATTTATTTAAAATATTATGTTTGATTATATAATTTATGAGTACTTCTCAAAAAAAAAAAAATAATAATTAAAAAAGACTTCAAGATGTGTCCTAGTGTCTTTAAAGTAATTATTTTTGGTGGAAATATTTTGATCATAAACGTCTTTAATAATTAATTTTAGTCGAGAATACATCCCTTAACTTATTAAAATATTTTTTTGATTGGAAAATTTTTGAAGATTTAGTATAAGCAGAAATAGACATGTGGGGATTTTCTAAGTTTAATTGTTCCTAAAACAACCATCAATTCAAAGACATGGTGGGAGAATAGGAATCCTAGGTGCATCCCTATTG